TTTTTCACTGCAAATCTGCACAAGAGTTATTAGGAACAGCCATATCACACGTTCAGTGTTATGCTGTCTTGAAATTTCCTCCAACCCTGAAAATAGTCCATTGCTTTTTAATTCAGCCTTGTGTAATTTCTTGACATGGGCAGAAAACAGCCAGATTCTTTGTCAAAATATCACACAAATGGCCTCTAACTCAGTTGCTGATGGAGACTGAGTTCTCTTCTGAAGTCTCATGATTAGGACTGCTACCACCCACATTATGCTCAGCACTACTGTCATACAGGCTATTAGAATGGAGTATTAAGCTCTGCTTCCAGCATTCAAACACTTTTCCAAAGTCTTCCCCATTCCTCTGAAAAGCACGGTCAGGGCTTTCACAACAACCTACTCTGTGTATCAATTTCTATATTAGTTACTTTTCAGCTGCTCTGTTAAAATATCATTAATAAAAGCAGCACGCAATAAAAAGTTTATTTTTGGCTTACAGTTCCAGAGAGGGAGTCCACAGTGGCCGGGAAGCACAGCAGCAGGCAGCAGGCATGGCGGTGTGGCAAAGCTGAGCTGCCACATCTCCAACCTCACACAGAGAACTGAGAGGGTGATCGAGAAGCAGGGCAATGCTATAAAGCCTCAAAGTCTACCCCCAGTGAGGGACTTCCTCCAGCAAGGCTGCACCTTCCCATAACCTCCCCAGTGTCACCACACCAAGTGTTCAAATACCTGAGCCTGTGGGTCCTTTCTCATTCAAACCACTACAGTGCCTTAAGTATAAACTCAATGATAAGAACAAAACACTCCAGAGGATAGGAAAGCATCATAGGCTTAATACTCAAAACACACCTTAGTCAAAAAAAAAAACACAAAAAACACACACACAAGACAGATGATCTCCTTGATAATTAGAAAAGAAAATTCTCCCTTCAAATTGGAAGACATCCCTCCAGTAGGGACTTTCTTTATAGATGTACAGGCATAGCACAAATAAAAGGTACAGTTCAGGAAACAGAATGGAAGATTAGGGTCGTGAATATTCACTCTCAAAAAGGCATATTTTGAAAGAAATAAAACTTAGCTACATTCCATTTGTTATTTCAGATTGAAACAATGTGGCAATCATGTTTACTAAATTTGCCCTGCCCGTCTCTTAGGAGGAACATGATGATGTTCGGGGCAGGGGAGCACAAGAACAGAGGCTCTGACTGAAGGTCAGACGAAGAGCAGACCAGCCCCACATTCCTGACATCCACAGAATTCTGAGGCTCAACTGCTACTTAGGCTTCTCTCTCAGAGCTTCACTTGCAGTTGGCTCATTGGCTCCGGACAAGGAATACAGCCCCGCTGCACACTGCCCGGCCTCTAAGGCTTTTCTCAAAACCTTGGTATAAACCCATGACCCCACAACTCTTCCATTCTTCACACCTGCAGAACTGCCACCCCACGGATGAGATCAAGTTCTACCTCCAGTTACAGAAATTGCTGGATCCTAACTCTTCCATTCTTCACACCTGCAGAACTGCCACCCCACGGATGAGATCAAGTTCTACCTCCAGTTCCGGAAGTAGCTGGGTCCTCTGGACTATAGCTGCAGCTGTCCCTAAACCTGTATGACTGAACCTGGATTACAGAAAAAAGAATGCCAACAGAAAGGTGGACAGTAAAGACTGCACATAGGTTTCAAAGAGTACAAAGATTCTATTAGAAATTGAGCATGAGATCATTTCATATTAGTAGAGTATAGAGTATCTGCTTATATTCTAATTATTTCCTTAAAATATAAGGCTGAATTCAAAAGTAATGGACTAAATGACTTAGCAGAGGAAATTTCAGTCAGTGTTACATTTAAGATGTGGCATGATTATTTTTAGATATGCTTGTAGAAGATTAATTCTGAGAGTTGGCCAAAAAGGCCAAAAGTGAAGAAAGAATTTACTCAATGTAGCGTTTGTAGAAAAGGACCATGAATGCACCTATAGTTGTGGACCAGATGATTGTAATAATTATGGACAATTAAAGAGAAATTATACACTTTGCACTGAGACGATAGGAAAGATGCCTTGACTGTGAGATCTCGCTCATGGAAAGCTCTAAAATGTAATGTGAAATATTCTCCACAGACTCGTGTGCTTGACTACTTGGTCCCCTAATAATAGGAGCAGGATTTGAGTTTTATAACCCAGTCCTACTTCCTGTCCTGTCTCTGTCTCCTGGTCCTGTAAGCAAGCAGCCTCAGGTTCCTGCTGCCAAAGGAAGTCTCACTTTCCAATATTCCTTCCCTGCAATAGTAAACTGTGGCCTCAAACCATGAACCAAAATAACCTGTCCCTCCCTTGAGTTGCTTTGTGGGATATTTGGTCACAGTGATGAGAAAAGGAACTAATACCGAAAATTTTATATTGAGAAATGAGGCCATTGCTGTTGCAGTGACAGAGCTGACAATGAGGTTACTTAGGTGTCTGGATCTAGATTGTGGGAAGAATATGAAAAATCTGGAGCTGTGGGTTAACAAAGTCCTAGAACGCTATAAGCAGAACTTAATAAGCCATTATGGTATGAGTAAGGAAGATCAGAATGTCAACAAACAGTAAAGACGATCTCATCAAGTTTCACAAGGTCTGAAAAAGGAATCTAACAGAACTTGAGGTAGAAGTAATTAATGTTATATTCTGGCAATAGAGCTGGCTGCCTTCTTGAAATATTGAATAAGGTTGAATTTCAAAAGCAATGTGTGATAAAAGGCATGTACCAGCATGCCCAGCTACAAAATATTTTAATAAGAGTAATAAATAAATCAATGAGTCCCTATGGGAGGAGACTCGGGGCCTAAATCAGGACTCTGATATTTGATAAAAGCACCCCATTAAAATTTTGCTTTACTATATACATGTAAGTAGGAGACAGCATTCATTCATATTCTATCACTTTATTGAGGAAAAAAGAGTGAAAAGCTGACTGGAGACCATGGCAAAACTGTACTGATACTTTCCCTCCTGTTATTTAAAAGAGTAATACAGCAAGTATCTTTCATTAAAGACACCCAAATAAGGGCTGGGGATTTGGTTCTGTGAGCAAAAGTGCTTGCTGCATAAGCATAAGGACCTGAGTTCAGCCCCCAGCACCCACATAAACAGCTGGGTGGAGTGATACATGCTTGTAATTCCAGCACGCAGGAGGTGAGGACAGGAGGATCTTTGATTGGCATGCTCCAGGTCCTAGTCAGAGACCCCATTCTCAAAAAGCAAACGTAAAAGGGCTTGGGAGGTGATTCAGTGGGGAAAACACTTGCTGTTCAAGGGTGAGGAACTAAATTCAATCCTCAGAACCCTCACAAAGTAGGACACCATAGTGAATCTGTAATTCCAGTGCTCCAAGAGCGAGAGAGGAGGCTAAGACAGAAGAATCCCCAGAAGTTTGGAGGCAGATAGTCTGGAATATACAGCAGTGAGCAACAAGAGAACCTGTTTCAAACAAGGTAATACAGGAGAAAATGCCCAAGTTTGGCCTATGACCTCCATGTGTCCCAAGGTATGTGCACATCCACACTCACAGAAGCACACACAGAAAGATAAAACAATGTGGAGGGCACCTGAGGAGCAACATCCCTGGTTGACCTCTAGCCTACACACACATGCACATGTACACACAGGCACAAAAAAGCAGTTCACTGATAGTAGAGAAATTCTGTCCCAATCAGGGCAATAAAGTGGCCTCTGTAGATCATGTACATACTTGACATTTGACAGAATTTCTTTCTCAAATGTTTTTCGTCGAAGTGGAAAGCCAGTTTGCCATATTTTTCGATAGCTGAGGTTACGAAAACTTAACACAGCCCCTTCAGTACATGTCTTCAAGTCACTGCTGCTCATTCCAAGAGGGACACTGGTGCTTCTTTGTGTCATTGGGATTATGATGTGATCATTATTGGACATCTGGAGAGGTTCTGCCTTTCTGTGGAGAAAAAGCAATAGTAGGCTGATGGTCCAGAGAAACGAGATTATGAACACAGACTGACAGCCACCGTAAAAATTATTTTAAACTGTGTGGTAATAGATTCCTTTCCAATAAACAGTATGTATTGCTATGATAAGAACTCGAAATGAGAGGCTGGGATAACTGAATACATTGACTCCAATTAGATGTCAATTTCCTAAGAGACAAATAGGCATGAATTAGTAGAGCATAAAAATCATTCAAAACTCATTAAGCAAGAGAAAGACGGCTGACAGAGCATATTTGTCTTACTTGAGAAATATATTATGACACAACTTAAGCTGAGAAGCAGACTTCAGTTCCACCACATCTCCTGCTTTGTATTGTTTTTAAATTTTGGCATCTATGGTCTGGAGAGATGGCTCAGTGGTTAAGAGCACTGACTGCTCTTGCAGAGGAATTGATTTGATTCCCAGCACCTAGATGGTGGCTGACAAATGTTAATTACTCCATTTCCAGGAAATTTGATGCTTTCTTCCGGCCTCCACAGGCATTGCATGACATGGGTGCACTTACACACATGCAGGCAATACAGGCATACACATAAAATAAAAAGTAATTAATAAAATATTTTAAATAATAAAATCAACTTTGAATATCTCATAATAAGTAGAGTTTAGAGAAGCAGTCAGGGG